ACCCTCTCCCACTGTCGCCCTCCGGTCCAGTGATTCCAGCAAAAATCACCACTCCAGGTGTTCCCGTACCCAAAGGCGCCTATGGTGACGCCCAGGTCGACGCTTGGTCCGAAAAGATCGCAGAGTTCAATGGATTCATCTTCGTCACGCCTCAATACAACTGGAGCATTCCAGCAGTTCTGAAGGTCTCATTGGATCACTTATTCTTTGAGTGGCTTGGCAAGCCAGTGGTGATTGTAAGCTATGGGGGTCGTGGAGGAGGGAAAGCGGCTGCGGCTTTGAAAGAGATTTGGGCAGGGGTTAGGGGAGGGGAAGTAGCTGGTGCTGTGGAGTTGCCGATTACGCTGGGAATGGACTTGGCACAATCGAAGGGGGAGTTGCATGAAGGTCAAGCTGCGGCATGGGAGAAAGATGGAAAGGCTAAGGGTATAGAAGAAGCATTCACAAGGCTTGTTACAGTGCTTGAAGGAAAGGCATAGAGTTGAGAAAAGGAATGAATGTCGTGGCAAGTGTCTATTGGCGATGAGGACTGTGTGACTTTATAGCAAGATTTCAATGCAATATGCACTTGAAGTATGACATGGCTCCTGTCATTGACGTTGTCTTCGGAATCGTTGAATCCAATGCTCGACTGCGAAAGAGACAACTTATTAAATTGTTCATTAAGTTAAAGATGAGTTCCAACGTTCAAAGGCGAGAGCTGTAGGCAGATCAATACTATAGGCTGGGTATCAAATTTGAGTTGAGTAACCGAACCCCTCACGATGCCAGGATCAATGACTCATACCGAGGAAGGCCATGCATGCGTCGGAATAAGAGGTGCGAGAATGCCGGAATTAAAGTTATAATATCCATCTACATTTTACATGTCACGACAAGCACCATTCCAATGGAAAACAGACGCCTTTCTCCAAATTTTCAAAAGCAGCTTAGGGCAACGTTCACAGAGAATGCCGAACTATACGATCGGATTCGACCAACGTGCCCTTCAGGATTATTCGCTGACCTCGCAACATTAGCCGGACTTGGCCCTCAATCACGGGTTCTTGAGATCGGTCCTGGAACAGGGCAAGCAACAGTCCCTCTTGCACAGCTCGGATGCAGTATTCTTGCAGTAGAGCTCGGAGCTGAGATGGCAGCCGTCGCTCGAAAGAACCTTTCTTCCTTCCCAAAAGTCGAGGTCGTTGTCTCCATGTTCGAAGAATGCCCATTGCCGGAGCAGAAGTTCGACCTAGTTGTTTCATCAAATGCCTTCCATTGGATCGATGAAAATTTGAGGACGTCAAAAGCTGCTGATGCTCTACGTGGAGGAGGGGCACTGGCTATCATCTCTATACATCATATCAGATCAGGGACGGTAGCATTCTTTGATGAAGTCCAGCTTCTCTACGAAGAACATGGACTCGCGCCGGCCCGTAGCCTTTCTCTTCCAACGGCACAGTCTATTCCACAAGACGGAGAAGATTTCGAACGCGAGAAGAGGTTCGGTAAAGTCGAATTTCAAAGATATGAGTGGGAGGAGAAGTATTCGACCAGTGAATATATCGATTTGTTGTCAACGTACTCGAACCACCATATTTTGGCGCCGGAAGCCAAAGAAACATTCTTGAAAAAAGTTGCTGAGTTGATCGACACCAATTATGAAGGACATGTTACCAAGGGGTACCTGGCTCAGCTGGCTATTGCACACAGACTGTGAACGAAGATCCATAAAATGAGTATGCTATGTCTTTGGTAGGCTCTTTCTCGACCAGCAGCTCACTAATTACTACCAGAACACTTTATTTACATATACCTCCAGAATAAAAGCGATTTTCAGTAACGAAGGAATAGTTGTATTTCTCAAAATACTATCCATCTTCTAAGCTCACTTTCAAGTTACATAAAGTGCTTCTGTTCATCTTTTGAAGTGTTCCGGGGATCATTTTCTCAGCAAGACTTTCTATAGAGCCTCGATATCGAGAGCTACAAATCAGAACAATTCAAAGTCTCCACCCTATTTTTTTTTCCAAATTTCATTTGTTTGTCAAAATCCTCTGGCTTCTCTTATGGGCTCTCCAACCGACTACAATTTCCTACAGAATTCTCGCAATAGGGGTGCAATTTCTCGAGCGGCATGGTAACGCATCTAGAACAAGCTTTCTGCGTCCCTTAGGGCTGGCTGAACTCGTTTTATTTGGCGAAATAAAGTTTGATCCACGGTACATGAGAAGCCTAGTGCGCCGGTTTTTCTGTAACTTTCGCATAGGGAGCCTCACGGAAGGCATGAATCTTATTGACAAAGCACGCCACGTGCCAGGACAACGTTCCCCACAATATTTTCCGTACCTGGAACCAATAATGTCCTACAACTTACTTTTTAAGGGGAGGCGAGCGGTCATGCGTTCTAGTTCTATACTAGTTGTAAAGAAGCTTCTCCAGTGCTGTTCTAGCAAGGCACGCTTGCTGCCAAGGCTCTTGGCCCGGCGCCTCGTGTGTTTGTCAGACGGGCAGTGCGAAGGATTTCTCGCATCTCCTGCTGTCCTTTCGGCGCCAACGGCACGGACACCAGTGGCAGCACCACGGACGATGGCTACTACATCGCCGTTGACCCTGATCTCAATGTCTACTACCCCGGTTTGTGCACATATACGGATGGCCAGGTTCCGAAGATGTTTGTGGTGACAGATCCGGTTGCTGGAGTGAGCGTGTTGCAGAGCAAGGACGTGGGGTATAGTATAACTGGTAGTGTGGTGGGTGCTTGTTATCCGATGCCGATTTTGATGGGCAGTTTGGGAGCTGATTATGATGTGGCGGATAACTCAACGAGTGATGCTGATACGTTGAGTTTGAATGATGGAGCTATGGAGAAGTTCAGACTTGGTTAGAGCTTGGAAACGAAGTGGTGAGAGCTGGGCTGTGTCTTTCTGCACGAGTCCATCGCCATTTGGGAGAATTTGTATATAAGATTAGAAAAATCAAAATCAAGAAGACGTTTTGACTTCCAAGCCTTCCATCTCAGTATCTTACACTGGGCTATTCTGCCCAGTCATCATTTCGCTTGAGATGGAGCCTCAAGTAAGTCGAACTAACGCAACCATGAAGCTGAAGGCTCTTATCATGGTATCAAGCCTCGAGCAAGGTCGGATGCGCCTCGGCTGTCAAGGACTACACAATGCACGGGACGATTAAAAAATCTGAAATAATTGTTGGCAAATAGAGTAGGAAAGCATTAAAGTGATCGGCATTGTTGAATTGAAGTCTTAAGGTCGGTAAACTCGAGGAGGGTGGCTGACAAGTAGCAAATGACTGGACTGCTTGGAATAGCATCGAATACACACCTCCTTGAGCTTAACAACCTTGATGCAATAGCAAATCATAAATCAATGGGACATGATGAACCCCGCAAGCTGCTCCAGAACTGCAGAATCAACAATGAATCGACCTCGAATCGGTGATCATTCTTGTTATCAGTGACTCGCTGGATATCTCTAGACAAACTGATGGCTTTGCAATCTCTGAATCAGCATTTTGCTTGAAAGAGCTAGATTATGGAAGACGTATATCATTTGAGAAGTGTGCTGATGTTATCGAAATTTTCTCGGGAAGGTCTGGAATGTCAGCCTCGCAGTTGCCACCCTGGTCGCTGACACTGGCCAATGACGACGTGCTGACAACTCCTGAATCAGCATCTTGAAATCAAAAAGACCCCACATTTCCCTAAGGCTGAACTCCTCCATAAGTCCGCGATGATCCGCGATGATCCGCAAAGAACATTCCTTCTCTTTCCTCTTGTCTTCCTATAAGTATTCCAGTCGTTCCTAATGAGGGTGCTTCTCCTTCTTTTCTCAATCATCGTCGCATTTCTCTCAATCGCATTCAAAGACACAATCATCACGACAATCGAGTCACTCACCAGCGGCTTCTCAACCACCAACACGACGGCGTTCAAAGGCCTCCCACTTATCCCGCCTCGCGCAATCTACGGAGCACCGAAAGCAGTAAACATGACAATCCCACGAGCAATCCGCAAAGCCTTCCTGGCAATCGAGCAGTCCGAAGGTGCAGGCGCTCGAGTTCGCCGCTCGATCGGCACGCCACAGCTGCGCAACTTCTCCCCCTTCCTCATGCTCGACCACTTCACGATCAAGCCTGGAGCAGGTTTCCCCGACCATCCGCATCGCGGCCAAGAAACGATTACATACTTGCTTGAGGGGGCGGTCGACCACGAAGACTTCGCAGGAAATGCGGGCACCATCGAGGCAGGAGATCTGCAGTTCATGACGGCAGGCAAGGGCATAATGCATGCTGAGATGCCGAGACAAAACCCTGATGGAAGCGCAAATATTGGCATGCAATTATGGGTCGATCTCCCAGAGAAACTCAAGAAGTGCGAGCCCAGATACCGCGATCTGAAGGCATCCGAGATCCCGAATATCGATATCGACGAAGGGAAGGTACATGTTAAGATCATCTCAGGACAGAGCCATGGCGTCGACAGCGTGAAGGAATTGGCGTATACACCAGTCTGGATCCTGGATATCGAGATCAAGCCGGGTGGAAAGATCGTCCAGAATCTGCCGGAAGGATGGAATGCTTTTGCTTACAATTTGAGCGGAAGCACGGCATTTGGTGTTGGAAAGGACAAAACGACTATTGGTCAATATCACAATGTGGTATTTGAGCAAAAGGGAGACGAGGTGAACGCGGAAGTTGCGGAAGACGCGAAGGAGAATGGGCATTTTAGTAAGTCATGTGACTTTCCTCGATCTCGCTTGTGCACATCCCAAAAAATTTGTGAAATTGAGACAATCCCTTAGTGAGGGATTATCTGCAGTTGTTGAGCATTTATTTTGACTTCTGGGATTGTATTCCCCGAGGAAAAAGGAGCAATAATGAGTCAAGAAGCGCTTCAACTTTTGAACTGTTTGAGACATTGATCTATCCCACCGGCTAGATTGAGTTTCGAAAAAGAAAGCAATACGACAAGAGAACATCCAGCAAAAAATGCAAAAGAATATTGCGTTCGCCGGGAATCGAACCCGGGGCCCATCGATACTGTTCAGAAGATATATATCTTCTGATTATGGCAACGATGGATTTTACCACTAAACCACAAACGCCAATTTGTGGAGGAGGAAGGCTTATTATGGCTCATAACCACAATAGCAAAATTCAATTTTGTGCGTGGGACCAGCCAATGAGACGACAGGGTTTTTCTGCAACGTTACCCGATGAAGCGGTGTATGAAGTCAGGGCCCGCAATTAGCCTACACGGCATGACTCGGTTGAACGCTTAGCAGTTCTGCGAAGACTATCTCTTGCTTAAGGAATGAGGATCATCAACTAACAATTCACGGCTTCTTTTCTTTCAGTCATATTTTTGCAACTTTCGAGTAGCGTCAAAGCATTTTAAGATCATAACTAACATTCAAATAGTTCTCGTCGCCGGTCTCCCACTCGATCAAAAGGTCGTCCAGTACGGACCTTTTGTTCTCAACTCGCAAGAAGAGGTTTATCAAGCTATGATGGATTTCCAGACACATTCGAATGGATTCGAACGGGCGAAGGGATGGCAGAGTGAGATTGGGAAGAGCATGGTCCATTGAAGGAGAATCAAGGGGAGAGGAGAAATTGTAAATAGGAAGAATAGAGCATGAACATTGACAATTTGTCTGGCTATTGATCTTTTGTGCCCATATGTGAAGGTTCAGAAGGAACTTCGAGCTCGCCAGAGGTGAGAGAATAAACGTGATTCAAACCTTGACGCGAGATTAGTAAATAGCTACTGTATCTGAAAGTGGTCGAGACTCCCTATCCAAAGTGGGGGAGTGGGGAAGTCCTAGAACCTTGAGTCATAAGATTGCAATCACTGGGCGTATTAGGGGGGATGGGGGGATGTAAGTAGGGGTGTACGTAGGGGAAAAGAAATTCCCAGAACCTCGAGTCCTAAGATCGTGGAAGGCATGGTCTCTTGTGCTAAAACATAATAGTACTAGCGTCGATCGGAGATCAGGCCCGCCCCGCTGCCCAACGGCAAGGGAAGATTCGCGATGTCCCTCACGAAAGAGCCAGTGATCAAAACCCACTACTACAAGCTAGTCTTCCAGCACTTATATAAATAGTACTAACCATATAATAGGCTTCAGGTGTACACAGCTCTTCGTAATCGGATCCAAGTACCGACCTCTATAGTCAGCGCTCGATATTTTACCTCGATACTTCGTGGAGCCCATTCCGAATCTTATACACTGATCGACATATCCTATATCCTTTCGGGCTTAAGACAAAGATATACGCCCCATTATCCGCTGCGGGAAGCTACAGGAAGTGCGGCGTAGAACCAACAATGTCTAGCTTTATCAAGGGCACACATCTTACGGTATATAGCGTAGCTGGCCAGAATAGCCTAAAGGAACTAGAAGGTTTCGGCGAATGGACGGCATCAGCAAATTTCGAACCGATAAACGATGCACTAGGCAGGTGCGCACATAAGGACAGGCACCAAAGGCTGAGACCAATATTGAAGGAGCTAAATTTCAAAGCTCGTAATTTCTATCAGGAGTAAAACAAATACTAATATCTAGTAGGCACATGAGGTCAAATATCAAATCCTCCGTTCAGATTCGAGGACTTGGGTTGAATCAGCTGTACCTGTATATCTAATCCCTATTCGAATAGCAGGGGGCACGACTACCTCGGTTTCGGATGGGGCGACACTTGCGGTAACACTTGAGATAGGGAAAATGGTATATTTCGATAAACCTATAGTCGTTGATTCAGTGATGGATTTCCTCCTCGTGAGAGCTCGTTGATAGAGGATTCGTTACCATTTTTGCAATAATCTAGGACAGTTCGTGAGGGATTTGGGGTTGTTGATTTGTCTCTCCTTTTTGATCTGTTCTCTATCTCTTCAAATCCACTCTGAATCTTCTTTGTGGTGTTCGCGACTGAAGTATGAAGTTCTCCACTGTCTGTACCATCATCATCGCTCGTATTCTCGCGAGAGTCGCTCAGGCTTCGGCGTTTGTTTGGAGCATCTTGGGCGGGAGTGAGAGCATATGGAACAGGAGTTGGGGGTATCTGGCACTAGAGCGGGAGCGGAGAGAATAAAAGTGGATTATAATTTGACGCGAGGTTAGTATTAAATAGCTGTTGTATCTGGAAGTGGTTGAGACTCCCTACCCAAAGGCATTCGATACTATTGCCCAACTGCAGTATTTCCCTCCTCGGTACCTCACTCACATCAACTTAGAAGTCCAGAACAAAACCTCTCAACCCGTGCTAGAACATCAGCCAAATGCGCCCTCTCGCCCAAAATATGCCCCTCTCTCGGATAGACCGCCATCTCCACCTTATCCTCAACCCCATACCCTGCACACGCTTCTCTGAAGGCTAACGCCTGACTGACCGGCAACCTCTTATCCTCCTTGCCATGCAATATCAACACCCTAGGCATCGCCTCCGCTGCCCCCTTCCGCTTCAACCTCAAGACCGCACTCGCATTCTCCGCAATCCTGTTATCACGCTCCGCATTCCACGGCGGGCCCCCAATCCCCTCGCCTTGCAGATACGGCCTATCGCTGCTCATAACCAACATATCCAGATCCGTGCCTCCAGCCCCACAAATCGCGCCCCTGATTTTCCACTCCCCAAGCTTCGCCTCGATATTCCTCCTCGTAGCTAGTAAGTAGGATTCTATCCCACCTTGAGACCACCCGCCTATTATAATACGTTCGGGATCGACGAGCCCGAGTTGGATGCCTTTGTTAATGAGCGTGATGATGTCTTCATACTCTACGGTTCCGACGCGGCCATGTGTCCAGGATGCGAATTTCTCACCCCGGCCGCTGCCGCCGCGGTAGTTGGGTGAGAGGAAGGCAATGGGTTGGCTATTGTAGGAGGCGTTGGATGAGGGTAGGAAGAGGGAGAGGAGCAGGGCTTGCCAGTGGTGGTAGTTGGAGTTGGAGTTGAAGGCAAAGGTTGCACGATCATATGCACCGCCATGGATGAAGACGCATGTTGGCAGCGGTTTCGGATGAGAAAAGGTGGGAGCAATGAAGATTGCGTCGAGGTCTGTGGTTTCGTCTTCTGATTTGCATCCTATGACTTTGGACGTGATTTCGAGATCGAAAGCGTCAGCAAGGTGTTGGTTGTGGTGGGTTATCTGTGTAAGGTTCGTTGCATTGAGGGGGAGGTTGAAAACATTCCCCTCCTCTGTGACCTCCAAATTCTTGATATCCTCAATGCTGCTGCTCTTCTTCGGCAGTCCTTTTATTTTGACCGTGTAAAGCTCTAGGGGATTGAGAGTATTGCTTTTCGAAATGGCGAGAACACATCCACCATCATCGAGAACCTTTGCATCCCACTCATTGATCGCCTCTTTCTCAGAGTAGAGAACAAGCTCTTCTTTCTTGCCCTCGCTGCTCGAATGTGGATCTCGTCTAGTAATCCGGATTGAATCTGGCCAAAGATTGTCCTATAATGAGACCGAATATCCATGACGCAGTCGACTTCTCCATGAGAAGATTTCTACCATGACCAGGAGTCTCCTTCCTGCCGTAGCTGGTATAATGTCATCGAGGAATTCGTCCTCTTGGGTGTTGCTCCTGACAAGAAGAAGATCTCGCTAGGTTTCGTCCATACGGGAGTTCCCAGTACTGGACCAGGGAACTCGGCGAGGAGGGTCGGAGAAGATGTTGAACTGCTTTCCAGCGAGACTGTCTCGAATCTGATACCAGAGTAGAAGGGAGAATCGAGCTCTGGTGTCTGATGGATAACAAGAACAATTTTCGTTCCATCTGGTGACCATGCGAAATTATCCACCTGAGCATTCTTGTTGTAAAGTTTGGTGGCTTCGAAGGAATCAAAGTCTACCACGTATGGACGAGCATAGTTCCATCTCCCAAAAACTTCAACGTCATCCCCAGCCTCCTCTCGAATCTTCTCATCAGCATCTTTCACTTCAGGTGCGAGAAAAAGAATCTTCTTGCTGTCCGGACTGAATTCGAACTTGGAAACGTTCTGCAAGGGATCATCCTTAGCCAAACTGGTTTGCTTGTGTAATGTCTTGAGCAAAATGGCCTCTTTGCTGAAATCGGACACCTGAACACCATATAGCCTATAAGACTCTTCATTTATGTTTGACAAGAACGCAATTAGCTCCCCATTGGGAGACCATTTGATCAAATGGTTATGGCATAGAGGTTTGATGTCAAGCTGACGACTTGATCCTGGAACTCCCACATCTGCGAGCCAAACGGACGATTTTTTCTTGTCGCGTTCAGATCCGAAGTGCTCGGTGATATAAGCGATTTTGTCTCCAGAGGGCGAAATGCGAAGTTCATTGATTACAATGCTGTCGACAAGCTTTTCGATAAATGGGTTCTCCCAATGAGCTGGCTCTGGTGGGGGGGTTGTCATTGTGCTGTCAAATGTTGCTAAAAATCGAGGGATGGATCTTGGGATAATTAATAGGAAGAATTTAATTGGTATTGATTGCTGACCCGTAAAAGTAAAGGCTGTATTAATTGCCAAAAACTTGGCAGCCTGGAGTGGAGTGCGTGATGATGACGCGACAGGCGGGCCTATCAAAAGTTGTTACCTAGTCCACTGAGCGAATGTTTGGAATGCTCAACCTATATTCGCTGCTAGAAACCCTGCTATGCTCGCATGTGGCACATTCTGATTACCTGCATCATTGCGCAATCGATCGTTGACCTTCCTATTCCGCAATATAGAAGGAAAACTAGACCACTGTACGGGTTGATAGTGGCTGATCGAAGTCTGCGTCCCGATGCCGAAGGTCGTTATTTCGTGATTTCTTTCTACTACGAATCGTACAGTCTCAGACGATAAGCGACTACACAAAATTCTTTTTTTTTCTTCCGAATTTTGGAGAGTAAAGTCACTGATACCAAAGCTCTTGCATTACGTGGAAGTGATTGAACAGCGCGGCCCCAATAGTGATAACAACACGCGTTCGAGCAAGGGTCAGGAGCACAGGGAAGAATATTTTGTAGGGCACAGACGAGTAGCGCTTGCAAACATATAAGGGATTGTATTTTATAGCTATGGTACACACGGTTCGAACCTAGTCTATCGTTTATGAAGGGAGATGGAG